TGTCGTCTGCAAATTTGATGAGTTCCCCATCTATCCCTTCATCCAAGTCGTTGATGAAGATGTTGAAGAGTACTGGGCCCAGAACAGAGCCCTGGGGCACCCCACTACACACTTCCCTCCATATAGATGCAGTTCCATTGAGGACCACTCGCTGAGTACGGCCGGTCAGCCAGCTACGGATCCATCTGGTGGTGGTTCTGTCTACCCCACATTTTTCTATCTTGTCAAGTAGTAGGTTGTGATCTACTTTATCAAATGCCTTACTGAAGTCCAAGTAAATTATGTCCACAGCATTCCTCTGATCCACTAATTTTGTCACTTGGTCAAAGAATGCAATAAGATTTGTCTGGCATGATCTATTTTTGACAAACCCATGTTGGCTTTTAGTAATGACTTTGTTTGCCTCTAGGTGTTCGTTGATTCGTTGTTTGATTATCTTTTCCAGGATCTTCCCAGGTATTGAGGTCAGGCTGATAGGTCTGTAATTTCCTGGATCCGTTTTTTTTTCCTTTTTTGAGGTCCACCAGACCTGGTTTTTCCTTTTTTGAGGTCCACCAGACCTGGTTTTTATTAACAGTGAATGCCAATGTAGTTGGCCACGCAGATCTTTGTAAAAATAAATATGGTGGCAATAATTCATAGTTACGATTAACATAAAAATTGTATTTGCTTAATAGATTCATGAGCTGTTCAAAAAATCTTCTCTGTAATGCGATCACTGACAACTGCATACAGGCAGGAAATATTCCTTTTAATATGTGGAATATAATAGCAACTAATTATCCTTATTTAGATACATGCAATATAAATGCAATGGATGTGTTAGAAAACACATACATCTTGCATTGTTAGCTGAGGTGATAAAATTGCATTAAATCATTATTAAAATACAGAAAGGCAGACAGTTTTGTGTGTTTTGTATCAGTATCACTACTATTACTGCCACAGCATGTATGTTTGACAAGTAGCTTTATGAATATATTATAAATATGCTGAAACATTTGAGGAACATTATGGATTTTCCAAAGGAGAATACATACTGCTCAAAAAAATAAAGGGAACACAAACGTATAGGATCCTATATGTTTGTGTTCCCTTTATTTTTTTGAACAATATATTTAAGTAGGGTCCAAATTCTGTAAAAGTACCAAAAATATTTCAAAGGGACAAAGATTTAAGGCAGACCAATATATTAAACTATTTATCCATATACATGCTAGAAATACATTGGAGCAGAAGTGGGCAATTAACTTTCCCAAGGACCACATGAAAAACTGGGACTATTGTGGAGGGCTGCCACCATTATCACTGCCCCCTGCCCCCTCCCTGCTCATCTCCCGCTGCCACCACTGCCCTGCCCCGCCCCACCAACAACATCTCTGACACTGCAAGCTGGAGAGGGACAGCAGACTGGCCAGACATGGCCTGCGGGTCATAAAATACCCAGGTCTGCATTGGAGAGACACACATAATAGTAACAGAGTTGAAAGGGACCTTGGAGGTCATCTAGTCCAACCCCCTGCTCGCACAGGAGACCTATACCATTTCTGATAAATGGCTGTCCAGTTTCTTCTTAAAAGCCTTGAGTGATGGAGCATGTGTAGAGTGCAAGATTTTGAAATATTCCAGTAACTCTGCAAGGCTTTCTGTACTTGTTGCTAATACTGATGAATCTTCAAAGTAAGTGGGAAAGCCTAATTAACTCTCATGTCTGTTGATCACTTCATCTTCTTTAAATGCAGCAATAACATTTATTTTTTAATCTTGGTACTGTACTATGATATTGCTCTTAGCTTGGAAGTAAAGGAAAGCAATCACTGTTTGGCTTTATACCAAATATAATGATTAGACTTTTTTTTCCTCTTCATATTCCAAAGCAATCTCAAGAAAGTTATATAGGTAAATTTAGTGCGGAAAATTAGGAAGCCATATGCACAAGAAATTCTCTAACAAGACCTTAAATTCTGACTCTCTTCCCATCTTTTCAATTCAACAATCATGTGGCTACTGATTTCTTGGTCCTGAAAATTCCTGCCATCTTCCCCTTGTTTATAAAACAGTTTTCTCTGACATGAGAATATGCACTTCTCCAACTTTATAATTAATTTTAAAATGTATCCTTACAATTATAATTTTTAAAATGAAAGTGACAATTGCAACAAAGTTTCCAAAGGTTTTTTTTTTTTGTGTGTGTGTGTGTGTGTATTTATCCAAATAAAAAGCCCTATTAACAGAATAACAAAATTGGAAGGGACCTTGGAGATCTTCTAGTCCAACCCCTGCAGGAAATCCTATACCATTTCAAATGGTCCAATCTCTTCTTAAAAACCTACAATTTCTGGAGGCAACTATTGTATCATGTCCCCTGCATCCTTATTAGATCTAACATTTATAGACAGAAACGGAGAACCATCTTCTTCCTGTCTTCCTTAATTACTGGAAAGGTTGAAAGGTTTTGACATAATTTCACACCCTTCCTTCATTTACACAGTGGTCCCCAGCCTTTCAGGCTTTGCTAACTGGTAGGGGTGAGGAGAGGTGATAGCTCCACACAAGCAGCAGGCAAGTGACCAACCCATGCATACACAGCTCCATTTTCTTTCATGGTGTTTCTGGTCATGTGTAGAGAGCTTTTTCCAAAAGCTGGGTGGGTGATTTCATTGTGTTTCTGGTCGCCTGTATAGGGTTTTCTGGTATTTCTGGTCATGTGCAGAAAGCTTTCCACTCAAAGCCAAATGGGTGATTTCATGGTGCATTTGGATGGAAAATTGCTCGCTCTCTCACCTGCCTTAGGTATGGAGCCTATTCTTTTCAAACTTCCTTCAGCTCTAAGATCAAGACTCAGTTTGCTTTTAGTTCTCCCAAAATCAAATCTTTTCATTTTATGAAGGAATTGAGACTTTTCCACCTGACATGAATTATAGGTCATCTCATGTATCTCTCACTATTGGCTACTGGTGTTCTTAGTGATGCCCTAATCAAAAACTTTGCTTCTGCATAATGACACAGTGCTCTCAGTCATAGCTGAGATATGTATGGAAAATACATATTTTAGCCCAGATTTTGCTTTACCATCCCAAGGTACTATACTTTGTAAGACATTGTAGCATTTATTATCTGGAGCATGCTTCAACACATAGTACTCATATATAAAATACAGGAATATGATACAATGTAAGCTCAAGAATCCAAGTAACAAAGTTTTGACATTCAAACTATAATACAGTACCCAGCACACTATTCACTATCTCTCCCAGTAACAACAAGAAACACTGAAAATAATCTTAACTCTTAAAAGCCTGGTGGAAGAGATGTCTTTAATTATTCTGTAAACAGAGAGAAGGTGCAAGCCAAGCAAAACCCAGGGAGACATGCCACAGCCTGAGAGCAACACAGGTTCTCTCCTACATGTCATAAAAGCAGATCTCTGCCATGTGCCTTTCTTCACATCTTAATGATCGTATCGGTTTGTTATATTGTAAGACGCAACATAATAGTTTAAAACATAAGAAGAAAAAAGGGCCAAAGTCCAGAAAATAAAGTGTTTCAGACATGTGGGCCAACATGCAAGAAACGGGAAGGGAAGAAGCATAAAGCAACCCCCCCCTTTTGACACCCCAGAAATCACATCGTCTTAAGCTCAAGACAGGGATCAACAAAAGTGAGAGTTGAGGAACGGAGGAAGCACAAAACAGACACAAAACAAAAGATACACATAGAGGGAAAGGAAAAACTAGTGGAAGGGGAAAATCAAAAGCTAAAGAGTGAAATCTGTGTTCATGCAGAGGGATGTAAAGAGCAACGGTGAGCACTGTTCAGGGAGAGAGCAAGACAGGTACTAGAGGCTTAGGAACAAATTGGCATTCACAATATAGGAAGTGGGCCTCCGAGGCTGATGGGCAATATGGAAAAAAAGGAGGGAAGAAGGAGAAACGGCAAGAGAGAAGGTATGCAATTATGATGCAATTATAAACGTACAACCATGAAGTGGGATTACAAGTCAGAAAATAAGGCCTATGGAGACATGTCCAAACAATTATGGATGATGAGCATATGCTCTGAATACTTGGCTGTTTGGCTTAATTTTGCACTTTGACCTGGCTGGCTGGGCCAGAGTATCACTGACTGCTTCACTTGAAGCATCAAAGGATTTTGAAGCAGCCTTGTGTTCCAGACTGTCAGGGGAAAAAAAAATCTCACCTTACTAGTTCACTGACATAAAGGAAGGTTTGGTCTGCGTGCAATTATGATAAAATAAGAGATTTTCTAGTGATAAGAGTATGCATTTCATGGTGATCCAATGATTATTTGGGGATTCAAATGTCTTTCATTCATAGGCATCAGTTTTTTGAGGAATATGGGGATCTTAATCAAGAAATATTTGGCTGCAATAATGATTTTCAGGCAACCCTGAATGGAGCAAACAATTACCGGTAGAAGAAGTGGGGCAACATTGCTCTATAAGCCGGATTGTGAAGGCTGAGCTATCAAATCACGTCCCTGGAGCTTTCCTGGACTGGTACTTTAGAAACTTTTCAGATATTGAAAGTTTTAATTTTTCCAATTTAAAACCAGTTTTAAAAATAATTGATGCCTCTTGCCAGGTTGTTATGAGTTAATGTCATTTAGTGTCCCTGAAGTTTTTCTGTTGCATACCATTAAGTTTTGTTATGATCCTTTAGTTTTTAATTGTGACAGAAAGTTATTCAGAGAACTTGGAAAGGGAGAGAAATGAAGAGTTAAAGGCGCTTTCCTCAATTGCACAGTGAGGAATTGTTGCCTTGCTTTTTCCTTCACTCCCCCAACCCCCATGCATCTCTTTGAGACGCTCAGAGAACACAAATACCATCGTTCACCGTCCCTCCCACCCCCGGCTGCCGACCAAAGCAGTTTGCGACGAAAATTTTTACGGTCTTTGCTGATTCCGTAGCAGGCCCCGCAGCTCCGACAGCTGGTTTAGAATCCCACCGCGATTTGCGCTTCCCTTCTTGGGAGAAGAAGAGGCGTCCCCCCCCCCACCCGGATCCGGTTTCTCCCCGCCCGCCCCTTCCCGCAGCGTCCGCCGGGCGTCTGGAAGCCCTTCAGAAGAATGGCGATGGGGAGCTGGGCCGTGGTGTGGACGGTGCTTTGCAGCTTAGTCGCTACAACCCTGGGTAAGGCCGGGGTGAGGGCGCGCGGCGGTGAGGGAAACAGAGCGCGGCCGAGGCAGCTGCGCCGTGCATCCGGCGCTGGGCTCCCGGCAGGAGCGGAACAGGAGGGAGGCGCAGGCCCGCTGGGTGAAGCAAACGCTAGATCTGTGCCTGGTCAGGACAGGGTGTGGGTGAGTGATAGTGCTTCTCTGGGTTCTTTCTGGTTGAACCCGGTGTTTGTTTTGGAAACTATTTTTGTATTCCCTCTTGAAAGTAAAGGAACAACAAGGGCGCTCCTGAGCATGTGTGAAAATACCCATCATCGCTAGAGGAATTAGGAGGAATCTCTGTGATTCAAGAGTGGGACCTGCGGTGTTATTTTGTTGTTTTGATGTTTTGAACGGGGAATATTGCCGTTTTCATCTAAAGCCGCGTTTATCTCTATTGAGCTGGTCTGCATTTTTTCTATAGAAGGGGTTGTCATTTGTGTCATTTGGATTGAAACCCTCAGCTGGAATATCATCTCCAAATCAATCTTGGAAACTGGAGGACCAGAAAATAATCATTAATTTAAAGAAGTGATACAAATAGGGGAAACTTCCGAGTGTGTTCCATTGAACTACATTGGAGCTGTACAAAATTGTTTATATCCAGGACTTTGGGATGGGGAGAAACAGCACTTGACAATTACACAACAGAACTTTGTGTGACAATTGGCCCCACTCCTTTGAGCAATGCAGGCTCTTGGAAAGGCTTACAAACAGAAATGCCTGCATCTAATCATAGTTGGGTCTTTTTCCTGCCTTGCTGAAATGTTTATGGATGATGATTCTGTGTGAATTATTTTTGTCTGTGGTTAAAGAAGGATGCAAACTTGATAATTATAGGAACCCGTGGGAGTTAAATAACCTGAAGTATATGAGATTTAAAAATAAAGAGGCTATTTGTAGAAAGGTGAAATTGTGTCTGGATTGAAGAGCTTGTAGTGACTTAATGTTTAGAAACTAAATTTGTTGCTGTCTGCTACTCTCAAAACTGCATTGCTGATCCCTGGAAAAGTGGAGTCACCTAACCAGATATAAAGTTGTCTGATACAACGATTGTGCCAGTGGTATTTTCACTGATATTAATGTTACAGTATTATTTTTGCAATGTAGAATTTTTACACTATGGGATTCAGAATGTTCAGAAAAGACACATGGCTTTGAAAGTATAGTCCAATGATGGCGAACCTTTTAGAGACCAAGTGCCCAAAAACTGCCCCACTGGCCCCGCCCCTGCCCCCGCTCTGTCCCCCCACCCTGCCCCCACTACGCACCCGCCCCATCTGCCCGCAGGACCACAGCCCGCCATACCAGATTGACCAGGTGGCCCAACAGCATCATGGCAGCCATCCCCTCTGCCCACGCCCCGCAGCATCATCTATGCGTGACTGCACGAGGGTGGAGTCTTGTCCCTGCTGCCATGTGCTTGGCTGTGCTGCTGTGTGGTCCATGTCCAGGGGTGACTCTCCTCCGGGGGGGCTGCTGGTGAGGAGGGGCCATGGGGGGAGGCGGGGCTGGGGCAACGGTGCACGTGCCCACAGAGAGGGCTCTGAGTGCCGCCTCTGGCACGCATGCCATAGGTTCGCCATCACTGGTATAGTCTATCAACATTTATGAAAAGTTAGCAAATCAGGGAGACACCATAGAATAGTCTCCAGGTTAATGGTTTCAAAAATATAAGATAAGATAAGATAAGATAAGATAACTTTTATTGTCATTTTTTTACTATGGGCATAACAGCATACATCAAAAATGAAATTCAGTTGCCTGCTCTCAAAGTGAAACACATATACGACACACGCCTAAAACATACTATGTACAACATATGTATAGACCCACACCCCTACATATACATAGCAAATAAATATTAAATACTGTCCATCTTGAATATATAATATATTTGTAGATCTGCATAAAACATCTAAAAGAAATCAGGCTGAGATTGTTCTGTAAAAGACCTTGGAGTGAAATATGCTAATAATTCTAATCACTTATAAACTGAGCATGTTAATCATCCTTATGTTCATAAACATAAGAAGATGGTTTGTTTTCAAGAAGACTAACTCACTAGCTTCTAAGGTATATTCAGGTGGTGGACTACAACTTCTTTCATCCTCAGCCAGAAAGAACAGAGATGGACTATGTCCTAATCCTGGTATACCAGATATCCTGCCCAAAAAAGAAAAAAGGAAAAAAAAAAGAAAAAAAGAAATAAAGAAAGAAAAGAAATTGCGCATAAAACTTTGTGGTAAATTTCATGATGAGAAATATTGATGACCAGGAATTAGGGGACAGTATTAATTATGAATACATATAGATGGCTTCTCTCTCTTTGGTCACTTGTAATCCTGGATTCAGGGTCAGAAAACTATAGCAAGGACAACACCCAATGTCCTAACCCACCCAAGAACATACGATATCTTTAAGTAACACTCAAATGAGAACATGTTTAGCTAATTCTGCTTTCTCCCCTCTAATCTATGGTATGCCAGACTTACTGGGTGCAATCTTTATCTTATGTGTGTCAGCTTTGCTGGATGGGTTGCTTATGTAATTATACAGAATAAATACAAGGATTTCTTGTCATTTGTTGCTCCCCTCATTTAGAGGAGTCCGTCTCTATTCAGCTGAATAAACACGTAAAACTTAAAAGGCACTTTCTGGTTTCCTGTATTTCTTTAACCAGCAAAGCCTCAGAACCTGCATATCAATATGTTCTCAAATATTGGTGGTGTGAACAGCTCTAGTCCTGAAAGTGGCCTGTTCTCAGAGTATCCATATCTACTTGAGAACATTTAATATAAACCAGTTATTCCCTAATTTTGCTAATTACGCTACTGTGGCTGAAATGGAATAAATTACTGAAAACAGATTTCTTGTTGGTTTAAATAGTTACAATAGACAGACAAAGGCTTATTTTTTATCATAAGAGAAAAATTGTGTTGTGAGAAGGAGAATAGTTTATTATTCAAGATACAAAGATAATAATGAGGAAAATTTTTTTTCAAATTTCTGGCAGACAGACAGCATAATTAACTTTTATGTAATGTGCCTAGCCATCCCATAGTTTCTTTTGTTTTTAGCTGATTTGTGAATTCTGACCATTCTGGTGGTTTATGACTTAAGGTATTATGTGGAAATCTAGCTATTGCAGCATACTATGGTTAAAAATCCTGGCTCCCGAGGAATTTGTTCCAGGCAGTGAATAATTTTGATTATGATGTAGATTCAGGCTAACATTTTCAACCATAGAAAATTTTTTAAAAGGTACTTCAGACAAGAAAAAAAAAATCTTTAAAAAACCCAAGCTGACTTTTATCAAAGTCTCAGTTCAGATATATAACAGTACCTCTGTTAGATCTAATAACATTTTCATTAGATGAATATTTTTTCCTCCCAAATAACTATCTCTGAACAGAGGTGTCAGTTTACCTTCACTAATGAGTAGAAGAAGCTGTTGAAAACAATACACAAACAAGAGGTCCAAATGGTGTCATACCCTTCATCCTACAAAGCTTTAATACTATTCTGAATATTGAAGCTGGGTGGAAGAATCTTTGTGCAATACCCTTCTTTCTCTTGCTTTTCTTCTTAGTCCAGTTGTCTTGTTCATGTGCCTCACGCACATCCAGTTTGCATCTCCATGTAGTTACATTTCTTTCACTTATCCTGTTTCTCCTCTTGCTGAAAGAAGAACTTGAGCATGCATGTGTGCATATCAGCATGTTAAGTGAAAGTGGTTTATATGTGTGAGTTTATGTGGGGACCATTTAATATTGTAAGTGGGGTGACTTATTTTTAATTACTAATTATTAATTCCATTAATATAAATATAGTTTTGTTCTAAAGCAGCCTTTTGGAAGGGGAATGTTGCTTCTGGCAGCCAAAGATACACACATGTATCTTGGGTGACATACTGACTAATTTATTGGGTGGGAGAGAGAAATTTCAAAGATTGATTTTAGCTAGTGTTGGCAACCCTAAACAATGCATAAGAGTTTTGTCTTTTGTTTTGAATTTTCTCATCCTATGCTTCCTTTGAAGATGTGTTTTTTTTATTTGAAATTTTGTATACAAAATGTGCTTAGAATCCTTTTCTTTTTTTGTATTTTGACAGTTGGGAATTACACTGATCTTTGTGCAGTAAAGTGCTACTTGCTTGGGTTTTGTTTTATTTTACACCATCTGTCATCATAATAACAAGTAATAAAAATAGATACAATTAGAACAAAATCTTAACATATTATAAAAAAATATCCCTTTTGACTGTAGAACAGCATCCAAAAGGACAGACTTCTAATCATTAAATGAGGTTTCCATTGCCAGAGCCAAAGTGCTTCTTGTCAGCTTCACAGAAAGTTAGAAAATATTAATTTTGCTTTTACAGTGGGGGATGGAGGGACAGTGCTGTTGGCCCAAGGTTGCTGGTGCTAATTGAGCAGGCAGTTCCAAGGTGAATACCTTAGTGGAAATTTGGACTTTCTGAATCTGGGATAAATGAGAATTTGCTATGGATCTTTGAAGGAAAGGAAGTTCCAAAATAGTTGAAGGTCAGGAAATTCCAATAGCAAGGAGGGAAAAAATGAGATATCCACTGAGAAGAATATAGGAAGGAAGGGATTGTAGAATGAAATAGAAATTATGGCTGATGACTGAAGTCCCACTGATTCAGTAATTACTTGATGAAGAGATTTAGCAGGCTTTATTTTTAATGCCTAAAGTTATTTATTCAGTTTGAAAGTATTTCGTATCCCATTGTCCAGTTTGGATGTATAGCAGTTCTCAAGATCCCTTGTTCATTTTTGGGCTCATTGTTGGGACTAGTGCAGGGGTAGGCAACCTTGGCTCTTTTATGACTCGTGGACTTCAACTCCCAGAATTCCTGAGCCAGCATAGCTCATAACTGGCTCAGGAATTCTGGGAGTTGAAATCCACGAGTCATAAAAGAGCCAAGGTTGCCTACCCCTGGACTAATGAAAT